ACTACACAACATTTAATACTGTTTATTTAATCAAACTTACGATGTTTTTCTTTTATGGTCCTGGGTTTTTAACATTTCTAGAGTTTTAAATTCCGTAAGATTTTATGTGATATCACAAAGCAGGACAAATACAGATCTATGAGTTACAGAAAGCACCTTCTACTCGGTCTGCAAATGCCTTCTAAATGAGAAAATATCTGAAGAGCCAGAGGATCCTTAAATTAGGTGTTCTGAGATGCAATTTCCAGCAAGCAATTCTCGAAACACTAGCCACTCATTCAACTCAGCTGAAGACAACTCAATACCACCAACTCCTTTCTGACACTACACAGAGACCGCATCGGACCACACAGGCTGAGGGGCTCAGTTTGTCAGGATACCAAACCCCCACCCCACCAGATGCCAGCCCGGTTAGTTGTGCTCTCTGACCGACTGGCTATGGACCGTAGGTTCTCATGAGTCTCTCTCCATGGGTACAATTAACTTCCCAGAGCAACTCACAGAACTCAAGTGAAACCTGCTACCTGACAATAAAAGAATGTAACTAAGAAACTGCCAGATGCTTAGGACAAGGCATGGGGAATGGGCAGGGAGCTTCCACTCTGTCCGGGAGCCCCTCTCTCCCGGGACCGCCACGTTTTTGCCAACCACGAAGCACTCTGAATCCTGTCCCCCTGGGTTTTAACGTAGGCTCCATGACAGAAGCAAGAATGATTACATCACTGGCAGCTGGCGACTGCTTCAACCTCTGGGCCCTCCACCATCCCCTCCCCGGAGATCAGGTGGTGGCACTGATTGTTCCAACCCTCCAATCACTGACTGGCTCCAAGAGCCAACAGCCCTCTACCCTCAGGCACTTTCCAAAAGTTACCTCATGAACATAACAAAAGACAACTTGTAACACTCTCAAGGCTTAGGAAATGCCAAGGGTTAGGGAACTGTGATTGAAGACCAAATATACATTTCTTACAGATCACAATATCATGATGCTATAGACCAAATGTGAAAATACAGCAGAAGAGGAGCAGTTAAATTGGAAGAGGTATGGATGAGTTAATAATCCAACAACTCCTGAGACACAATAATGCCTTAGGCACTGAAAGAAAAATCCAAGACAGACACATTCTCTCTCCTGCTAGTTTACAATTCAGACTCAAGCAAAATATTTTAAGTAACAGTTAAGCAGTGACAAATGAAAGAAAAAAAAAAAAAAGCAAGCAAGCAAGCAATGGCCTTCAAATAAATGAATTCCATGAAGCTGTCAGTACAATGTGAAAGAGAATTTTGACGGGTCTCAAAAGAGATGGTAAGTATCAACACGAATTCAATGAAAATTTAAAAACTTCATGAAACTGTAAGAAACATAAGAAAAGCACATTATCATAACAAAACTCAATGAACTTTTTGCAAAGTAAAGTTATCCACATAACCAGTGCTCAGCTCAAGAAAAGTAAATGACAGCACCCTAGAACACTCCCTCCTACTTCGTTCCTACCTTCCTTTTCTTCCTATTTCCTTCCTTCACTCCCCAAAAGCTTCCACTGGCTTGGTCTATTGTTATACTCTGTATAAAGAGAATATAATACACTAGGTACTTCTTTCTCTCAAAACATGTTTGTGACATTCATCAAAATTTTTGTTTATAGTTATAGACTATAAGTTATATAGAACTTTATATAAGTTCTATATAACATATATAGTTATATAGAACTTAATGTAACTAAGTTATATTAATGAGAAAATTTCTCATTTTCCACTGTAAAGTATTCCATTGTGTGAATATTTTAATACATCATTCACCCATTATACCAATGATGGGTAATTTCTATGGTTCCTACTTCTGGGCTCTTGTGAAAAACACTGCTATGAACATTCTAGTACGTATCTTCTGGTGAACAGGTTTTCACTTCGGGGGGCGGGGACTGGGGAACAGAAGGGCTAGGTCATGAACTGCACAGATGTTCAGCTTTAGTAAATACTGCCAGTTTTCCAACTGTTGGGCAGTTTTCCTTCAGCTCCTTGTGAGAGTTACAGTTGTGCTACATTCTCACCAACAGCCGTTATTTTCTACCTTTTCCATTTTAGCCATTCTAGTGAGTATGTAGAAAACACAATTATTATATGAAAGTTCAGATAATGGCAAATCTCTCACAAAAAGCACTCTTTAGAAAGAATATGGGCTTTTAAAAAAGATTTATTTATTTGAGAGAGTGAGCGAGCAGTGCAAACAGGAGGGAGGGTGGGCAGAGGGAGAGAATCACTAGCAGACTCCCCGCTGAGCACAGAGCCAGACCCCCATGGGGCTCGATTCCACCATCCATGGGATCATGACCTGAGCTGAAACCAAGAGCTGGACACCCAACCGACTGAGACCCCAGATGCCTCAAGAATATTTTAATTAAACTAACTGCACAAAAAAATGTTCACGGACTTGTTCAGTCACACACCCAAGCGATAACAAAATGACATGTATAAAGTCCCTGTTTAAGAGCGTAAAAACAGGACCTCATTATTTCATGGCCACTGCTTTTCCACTGGGAGAAGAATTAACCAGTTATTTTAACCATTCTGTAAGTTGCATTAAAAAAAAAAGAATATATGTATTAACGGGTATCAAGCTGTTGTAAAAAACAAGAAAATGGTAGAAGGAAAAAACATATTTTAAGGGTAGACAATAACACAGTTCAATCACGGATGCCAGCAAAGAATCCTCAAGAGTGGGGAGAAATAGGAAGACAGAAAATAGAAAGCACAGTGAATACATGACAAATTACTGGTAACTAAAACTTCTAGTATGAGTTCTCTCACTCTAATGTTATGATCCCATTTTTCTAGAGTAGCAACAGCTATTTTATTCTAGGGAAATGAGTATCAGTAAATTTTTTCTAAAAATAAAATATATTTGAGCAAAAAACATACAGAACAGCTTTTCTATGACTCACACTGTATAATTTCCTATGTGGTGAGACACATCCTTTAAGAAACTACAGTGTATAATCAGAACATGTATTTTTAATAATCAGTCAAAAATTAAAATCTGTAATAATACCATATCTAATAATTAACTTCTTTTAAATAAAGATTTTATTTATTTATTTGACAGAGATCACAAGTAGGCAGAGAGGCAAGCAAAGAAACAGAGGGGGAAGCAGGCTCCCTGCTGAGCAGAGAGCCTGCTGGATCCCAGAACCCTGGGAACACAACCTGAGCTGAAGGCAGAGGCTTTAACCCACTGAGCCACCCAGGCACCCCCTAATAGTTAACTTTTAAAGTTTAAAAAGAAAATCCCAGACTCACAGTGGCCAAACAAACAAACAAACAAAAAACCCTAATAAAAAGGGAAAACGAAAATTACTTCCAGTTTTCAGGTGTCTAGAACCATGACCTCACCTCAGCCATGCTCCAAGAGAATGAGCAGCATATCTTGTAATTGCCACAGCCCTTCTCTAAAGGTTTATTAGCAAGACATTCAATAACTCCTACTTTCCAACATGCTAGAATCACTCACTCCTAACCAGAGTATCACATATGCTGCTTCACAGGGCTGGTGAAAAGTGAGTAGATATTTATGTATGACAAACCTAGTTCAAAATGCTTAATCATTTTTAAACAAGAATTCATCAACAGGCACAGATTTTAAAAATCATATAAATACAAACACAATGAAATCCATCATAATCCATCACTGGTCACTGGCAACTGCTTCAACCTCTGGGGTCCCCCCCTTCCCTCCCTGGAGGCCAGGTGGTGGCACTGATTGTTCCAACCCTCCAATCACTGACTGGCTCCAAGGGCCAACAGCCCTCTATCCTCAGGCACTTTCCAAAAGTTACCTCATGAACATAACAAAAGACAACTTGTAACACTCTCAAGACTTAGGAAATGCCAAGAGTTAGGGAACTGTGAGCCAGGAACTGTGATTGAAGACCAAATATACATTTCTTACAGATCACAATATCATGATGCTATAGACCAAATGTGAAAATATAGCGAAGAGGAGCAGTTAAGTTAGAATAAATCAAACCTCTTTCTTTCTAAACAAAGCTTTAGCTTACTATTTCCCTGAAGTTCATCTAGGTGAGACCTTTATAAATGTTTACTCCAACCAACAAAATGCATGGTTGATTTATAAATATTGGCTCTTAAAAGCCAGGTAAGTGATGACCATGATAAAAACTGTCATTTTATGGGAGTTTATCTGTTTCTCTTTTCAAGGTTAGAATTTCTAACACCTACAAGTTAAATCAATGTTAAGTATGTTACACTTAACAGTATGAACAATAAGGTGTATAAAGCTTGTGTGCATTTAGTTGATTAAGTAACATATAAATTTCAAACATTAATTAAAAAAAGAAAAAGAATTTAACTGACCAAAATTCATAAAGTTTAAGAACCATAAAAAGGACTACAGTGCTAGTAATAGTTCTAAGAGACCATCAGAGAAAGGCTAACGAAACCCGAAAGAAACCACCAGGAGAGAACACCAAAGAGTTCACTGAAAAGACAAGAAGAATAGCTGGGAGTGAAAAATACAGCAAATGTTATGAAACTAAACAATCAAAAATGACAAATATAAAATAACTGATAAGCAGTACTCCCCGTAGAAGAGAAGAACATAACATGCAGCTACAACAGCAAATCTCCAATTCCAGACAACCGCACAGTGGTTTTCTCAAGCGATTAACAAGTAGACTTTTTAATTTTTAATTTATTTTTATTTTTTTTAAGTTATCTCTACCCTCAACGTGGGGCTTGAACTCATGACCCTAAGATCAAGAGTAGCACGCTCCACAGCCTGAGTCAGCTGGGCACCCCAATGATTAGATTTCTCAAATGTCGGATCTGAACAGGATGGGTGTGCAGTGTTGCAAGGAAAACATGGCGGAATAAAATATGGTAAGAGTTTATGAATTCATACTGAGATTTGCTCGTCTGACACATGTTATGCCAAGTACAACTAACTAGTCACACTAAAAATAAAATGCTAAAAACTCACTCACTGTCTTCTGTGGGAAGGACCTGCAGGGAGTAAATCCACTCTATTATATCATCTTTGTTCACCAGATCTAAGGAATCCAACATATCCAGCCCGGAGAGCGCAAAAAATGCAATTGTCAGCCTAAAAGAAAAAAAAAACAAAAATGTAAAATTCCATCTCAACTGTCAAAACACTGAAGTCTTTCTGATTCAGAAAAATAATAAAGTCTTTCTAATTTTAAACTTAATTTCAAATAGTTCTCTCATTTTGCAAAAGCCAAAAAGCCCTATTTATACTTATAGTTTAATATCAATCAAACCTTTGTTTCATTTAGGGGTTAAAAAACCAGTCCCATTCATCTGATGCATACATGGATTCACTAAAACAACCTGAAGGCTAAAGCAGATTTAAAAAAGAATTCCCTGCACCTAGTTAGTACAAGTAAGTTCAAAAGGCTGGAAAACATAAAATCCCTATTTCCACTTATTTGCCAAGAGCAACTATGCTTACAGTTGTTGCTTAATTCTTAAGGAATGTTAGAATAAATCCATCTGTACTCAAATTTGTTTATAAATAGTGTGACTGGAAAAAACTTAAAATGAATTTTGGGAAATAATACTTTAAAAATACATATGCGTTTCAACTCCATTTTCCCAGAGAGCATTCTTTGATGGAATGAGAAACTGTAAGGCAACACACTCCCCTCCAAGAGTGCACACTGAAGAGAAATGTAAACTTTGTTTTCACATAAAAGCTAGCACTTTAGTGATTACTTTTTTTTTTTTTTTTTTTTTAAAGATTTTATTTATTTTTCAGTGACAGAGGGAGAGCGAGCGAGCACAGGCAGACAGAGGCAGAGGGAGAAGCAGGCTCCCCGCCGAGCAAGGAGCCCGATGTGGGACTCGATCCCAGGACGCTGGGATCATGACCTGAGCCGAAGGCAGCTGCTTAACCAACTGAGCCACCCAGGCGTCCCAGTGATTACTTTTTAAATAAAGAGTTGTTATATATAATTCTTTTCAGGCTGAGATGAATTCTGTACTGCTGTCTGAGCATAGTTATCTCATTTCCATATTCTAACAATTCTGATGACTAATATACAAAATTAATACTTTGAATCATTTGGTCTAAAATCTGGAAACAAAGCCACTGGACACATTCTGTAACCTTTTCAACTAAGATTCCAAAAGAGAAATAAGCCTTAATGCCCTAAGGCATCCACTGTGTGTAATAAATTAAATTCTTTCCCACGCATTTATCAAAAACACTACCAACTTAAGGAAAAATGAGAAAAGTCACTTTTTTCTTTTTTAAGGGTACAATTCTCTTTGATTCCTGGTTGAAAAAGGCTGGCATACATTAGATAACAGGAGGAAAAATCAGGAGAGTAACTCTAACCAAAGCTTAAGGACAAAAAGTAAAACTAATGCAATATTGGTACACTTAAAAACAACAGATTTGGGAAAATTTACATTGCTGAGAGACTATTACTGTATACTAGACACTGATCTAGAAAATTTCTTATATACTCTCTCGATTTAATTCTACAAACCACTGAGAGCCACCAGAATTAGGGAAGTGATTTATCTGAGCAGAATTAAAGTAAGGTCAGTGAAACCCCTTTATGTGGAAGGCTACAGTTCAGAGTTCAGATTACATCATCAAATGAGCTAGACTGAAATCCTAGGCTGGCTGATTCACAGCCATTTATAACCCAGGCAGGCCCTTTGCTAAATCTTTTCTAAGTCCCTTCCTTATCTATAGATGATTACCCCTCACAGTTAGTGCACTACCGGGCCACAAGCAATCACTCCTCAAATAGAAAACTGTCATGACTGGTATTTTCCCTGATTTTGATGAGGGAGCAGAAGGCAAGCTGAGGACAAAGCAGAAGCCGACACCATGCAACCTGCCCCCATCCCCTACCGCTGGATGGGACATGTGTGACAGTGTTCCAGGAATCTCCCATCTTATGTTAATACCTTGTAGAGGGGAAAAACAACCTTAACTCGACAATGGCAAGACAATGGCAAGGCCTCAAGGCCTCCGTATCTTGTAGGTCTTCTTTAGCATATGAAAGTTCTTTCCAAACCTTTCTCTTTACCTCCCCCAACCCCACAGCTTATGACCAGCCACCTCTCACAAGCCCAGGGCAGCAGCTCTTTCTTGCCCATGGGTCCTGTCCCCAGGCTTTAATAAACCACCATTCTGCACCAATGACATCTTAAGAATTCCTTCTTGGTCGTCGGCTCCGGACTCCACCCCACTGAACCTCCCCTATACTCTAAAACTTCATCAATTTGACAGGCGTTAATGACGACCCCAGCGTCTAAACACACTGTCACACTACAGGCCTTTTCTCCAGGTCACTGGTTGGCAACCTTCTTCCCCCAGACTACACTGCTTGCTCCCCCTACCCCCAAAAATGATACTTTAGAAATGGGAAGAACTTCCCTCTGACAGCAGCCGTGTCTGAGAATCGCTGCTTTTCATGATCAGTATGTCTCAGGAGGTTAAGTTCAGCTCACCGTGATACGTGCCTGCATTACTTCACGTAACCCTGCTACGGAGCTCTCACTGGGGTTCTCGATTTTGCTGTAAATGGTTACAGTTGGATATAATCAATTAAAATTATCCAGTAATTTAGTTTATTAAAACAATGTTACAGAAAAACCCAAAAGGAAGATAGAAAAGTGGAGGAAAACAAGAGGCTGTCAACAAGACAATCTACGGAGGCTGGATAAATCCAAGATCTTCCTATCAGTAAAAAGTATATGATCAGAAAACATCTACAGGGCTACAAAAAAAAGCTCGTATTCTTTTCTAAGTTAAGTACTCTCTTAAATTTTTCTAGCTCAAGATCATGAAGTCCAGAGAACGCCAAGTGATTTGCTTGAATTTGCAAGGCCAGATAACCAATGGAAACTACTCAGGAGCTCTTAGTCATAGGGTGGTGGGCTCCACTGGGGTGTTTGTCATAACTGGCTGCGCATTAGAATCGGCTTAAAAACACACACCTAAAACACCACCAATAAAACAGAGAGAAGGCCTAGGTCTTACTCTATGATAATGAAATGGAAATTCTAGGTCGAAGTGGAGTCTGGGTACCTGGTATGGGGGGGGCTTCCCAGGTGAGGTAACATGCAGTCAGGCTTTAGAAGCACTGCTCTAGGGGCTCCTAGAGGCTCAGTCAGTTAAGCGTATGGCTTTTCTTTTTTTTTTTTTCTTTTTTAAAATTTATCTGAGAGAGAGAGAGAGAGGGAGAGAGCACAAGCAGGGGGAACAACAGAGGCAGAGGGAGAAGCTGGCTCCCCATTAAGCAAGGAGCCAGACGCGGGGCTGGATCCCAGGGCTCTGGGATCATACCTGAGCTGAAGGCAGACCCTTAAGCGACTGAAACACCCATGTGCCCCAAGTGTATGACTCTTAATCTCGGCTCAGGTCTCAGTCTCGGGGTGGTGAGTTTAAGCCCTGTGTTTGGGCTCCATGCTAGGCATAGAGCCTGTTTAAAACAACAACAACAACAAAAAAAAAAGAAAGAAAGAAAAGAAAAAAAAAGGCTTGCTTTAGAGCAGTGGTGCCCCAGGATACATTCTAAAGACATTTTTCGTTGTCCTGAGAGAAGGGTGCCAATGCCAGCTAGCTGGTAAGTGCCAGGGATGCCGCTAACTGTCCCACCTACGATGCACAGGGCAGCGCCATTCAACAAAATGTCAACAGTGCGAAGGTTAAGTACCCTGCTTCGAAGTCCAGTGCTAGCTCCGTGTAAGTGTCATATGAATGACCTATTTTTCATTTTATTTGCTTCTAAGTATGGATGCAAGTACCAGAAATCAAGTCAGATACTGAAAAACCACTTAAAAATCTTGCCTACTTAATTATTAAAGGCTCCCGAGAGTACACTATTTTGAACTCCTAGATTAAAGTTGACAGGATTAACACAGCTCTACTAAAAGCTTATGCTTATGGAGGCGCCTGGGTGGCTCTGTGGGTTAAGCCTGGGTGGCTCTGTGGGTTAAGCGTCTGCCTTCTCTGCTCAGGTCATGATCTCAGGGTCCTGGGATTGAGCCCCGAGTTGGGCTCTCTGCTCAGCAGGGAGCCTGCTTCCCTTCCTCCCTCTCTCCCTGCCTCTCTGCCTACTTGTGATCTCCGTCTGTCAAATAAATAAATAAAATCTTTAAAAAAAATAAAAAAAGAAAGAAAAGCTTATGCTTATGAAGTGAGGTACCCAGCAGCGGCAGGCAGAACCAAGAAGTTAATTTGGAGCTAATGTCTTGCGTTCCTCTAAAGCCAGGAAAATACTCCTTTCTCACTACACCAGAGTTCTCAAGCAGTCCTAAAACTCTTGAGAGGGAATGGATCAAGTAAGGCATAAGAAAAAGCAATTTTGGGCTGTAGGCCTCTGAGAGGAATAATGGTTTTATGGTGCCCCTGTGAGTGCTACTTAGAGTGTGGATTGCTGGCAACCCACCTGGGGGTAGATGTCTAGAGGCGAAATCGTGGGAAGACGTATGCCTAAAATCAGGCCAGTGAAGGTATTTCTACGTTAGTTCCTTTGGAGAGCATTTGTTTGTTCTCTTCCATTCTTCTCTTACCCAGAATTGAACTCTAAAACTATAGCCTGCAAAAGCAAAGTAAACCAGCTACATCTTCCTGACCCTTCTTTCACTCCAAACAACACATATGAAAACCACATCTGACATGGATGAGGTAGTAAAGTTTGTCTCCTCTAAATAAAATTGCTGCCCCACTCAATCGATTCACAGATAAGAGGCATCAATTAAATGATGTCCCCAGAAGATCTCCAATTTTTCAGGTTGAAGAATAAAATTTTCAGGCTTAAAAAAAAAGCACAAAAAAACAAAAACAAAAAACCCAAGGATTACATGGGGCGGGGGTTAGGGGACAACCAGTCTGGGCAGTGGAAAAAGAATTGAGCAATAGTAATAAATTTCCTGTGCCAGTAAAGGAGTAGTGTACTGTTAGGCTAGAGCAGGTAAGTGACCATTTGCGAGTATACCGTGAACACTGATGTAATAGGCACTGACTAGATTACCAAACTTTGGATCACCTGCTCTGCTCCCTTCTGCCAGTAGTCTCTACCAGCATCTCCAAGTGTCTTTAACACGTGACTGCATTCC